TGTGCCCTCCTCAAAATAAAGACCACATTTGATTCATTTTTCTATCCCAAGCACCCATATCATGACCAAGAAGGGTTTAGCCTAGGGATGTAAAGCTTGTCTAGTATTTGAACATCAATGTAATGTTGGTAGACTACCTTAAAAAAAATGAAATTATATCAACTGATTCATAAAATTTATCTGATAAAATTAAATATAAATGATAAAAATTTTATGTAATTCATTGAAAAAACAAAGAATTGATAAATTGGACTCATCAAAATGAAAAACTTTTGCTCCACAGAAGACCCTGTTAAGAGGGTAAAAAGAGAAGTTATAGACTAGAAGAAATATTTGTAAACCACTTGTCTGACAAGGCACTCTATCTAGAATATATAAAGATCTCTTGAAACTCAACAGTAATAAAAAATCCAATTAGAAAATAGAGGAAAGATACTGAAGAGGCAATTCACTGACAGGCAAACAAGCACACGTTCAACATCACTGGCCATCCACCAGAACCAAACCCAGAGCCACTGAGTAGATTTCAACTCATAGCAACCCCAAAAGATAGAGTAGAGCTGCCCCATAGGGTTTTAAAGGCTGTAAGTCTTTATGGAAGCAGACTGCCTAATCTTTCTCTCATGGAGCAGCTCGTGGTTTGGAACTGCTGATCTTTTGGTTAGTAGCCAAATGCCTTAATCACTACGCCACCAGAACTCCTTCACTAGCCATTATGGAAACACAAATTATGATCACAATGAAATATCATTACTCACATATTACCAAAAAATTAGTGACAATACCTAAAGCTGGCAAGGATGTGGGAAAACTGGCTCTCACATACAGTGCTGCTAGGTAGGAATGTATAATGAACTAAACATGTATTTAGTTTTAAAGAACTAAATATACACTTAGCATATGATCTAGTAACCATACTTCTAGCTTTCATCCAAGTACTGAGAACATTTCAGTCCATACAAACACCTATACATAAATGTACATTGTTGTTGTTGTTTGCCGTTGAGTCGGCCCCGACTCATAGCGACCCCTCCTTGGGTTTCCGAGGCAGTATCACTACGGAATTAGGATTGTCCAACCTTCCTTCCGAGGAGTGGCTGGTGGGTTTCAACCGCCAGCCTTCTGGTGAGCAGTCAAGTGCCTTAGGCACTATGCTACCAGAGCTCCTAAATGTACAAAGCAGCTTTATTTTTAATAGTAAAAAACTGGAAACAACCAGATTATCCTTCAATACGTGAATGGTTAAATAAACCAGTACAGTCACATAGTGGAATCTACTCAGCAATCAAAAGGTATTATACATGCAACAATCCATGTGGATCTCAAGGGCATTATGCTAATGGAAAAGAAAAGCCAATCTCAAAAGGTCACATCCTGTATAATTCCATTTAAATAACATTTCAAAGTGACAAAATCATAGAGATCACAAAAAATTAATGGTTTGCAGAGGTTAGGGATGGTGGGGACAGAAGAGGATGGGTGTGACTATAAAAGTGTAGCACAAGGGAGATCTCTCAGTGATGAAATAATTCTGTATATGTTTGTGGTGGTGGTTACACAAATCTACACAACATAAAATGGCACAGAATCATAGACACACATTGTACCAATGTCAATCTACTGGTTTTGATATTATGTTATAGTTATATAAGATACAGCCATTGAGGAAAACTGACAAAAGGGTACCTGGAATCTCTCTGTAATATTTTTGCAACTTCCTCTACATCTAAAATTAATTCACAATAAAAAGTTAAAATATACATATAAATCTGTATACATTTTTGCAACTTACACATATAAAAAATTTATTCAAAAGCTGTGTTTCCTAGCTCTCTCAACTAAGCCAAGATGATAAAGAGAATAAGGATCACGTTATCATTTTACAGAATTATTTGAATCTATAATACTATAAAAATGAACATGATGGCTATTCTAAAATTATCGATTCTCCTCTGCTAGA